GGACTCGATATTCTCGTTCAGCTCCCGGCATACATTATATGTAAATGGACTCTAAAACGCAGGTGTGAGGTACATCACCCTGGTTGCTTATGCAAACACCTCCCTGACAAATTGAGGCATTTAGAATTAAGTACGTACGCAAACGGCTTTATCACAACAAATTCCCGCAAACCGTAGCTGTACCTCAGGCAGGCATCCTTCACATAAATACGCCAACTTACTTTTTATTGCAACGTTGCGGATAGGCTGTATAATTCACTGTTAGTACTGTGATTACCAACCGTTGGGATTAAAGTTTAAAATGCATCCAAAATGCGTGTTGCACACGTGCTACAAATATGATTTATTCATATAATTTTACTCTCAGGCCCGGGAAAGTTTTAGTGAAAGGTTTCGGAATTGCACTAACTCACCAGGCATTAAATTATCAGTTTTGTTTAAATCGGTTTTGAACTTTTAACAGTTTTTTACTATTTTATAACATAAATGTTGAATTTCGTTGAAAAGAAATCACAATAATAATCAATAACTTGGCGTCTTCTAACAGCAGAAAACTAAGAATGTATACTTACCTAGCTTTTTACTACGATATGAACAAAATTAAATGGACGAACACTATTATATGAATGATATTGATAGCAAAATTGAGTTTCTTACTACGAATTTGGTTAAACTATTCGATAGCCATGCGCCTGTGCGTTCCGTGAGACTGAGTAAGCCTCATGCTCCTTGGTTTACAGTTACTCTTAGGAGTAAGAGACCCCACCCTACCCTAACAGTAAGAGAAATATTATTTCTAGAGCGGGATAGAGCATTTAAAAAGTATAAACTGATGAAATAAGTTTCAAATTGGAATACTTATAAGCACCTGCGCAATTTTGCCTTATCCTGGTTGAGGCGTGGAAAAGGGGCGTATCTCAAGTTTGTCGAGTCTCAGGATGCGTCGACTCTGTGAAAACGTTTGAAATCTGCACATATTCACACTCAACCAAGGCCGGAGTTACCAGATAACATGCAGGACTTTGCAGAGGGGTGCTTTTTCGGTGACACAGGCTGATGCCAATTTGATCAATTGCTTTTAGACTAAGCGACGTAATGCTTAGGAGTTTCACTTTAGCTGACGAAATAAAGTCAGCTATAGTCCTAAATCAAATGCTTCGGGAGTTGAGTGAATTTCTTTTTTAATGTTAAAACACACATAAATTCATGCTTTCCACCCTGCTGATAATGACAGTCTATCTGTTTTTGAATGAGGTTTCCGTCTGGGACACAGTACTGCAACAGTTTTGTTGAATGCGACGAATCGAATTTTTAAGGGTTTAGATGATAAACTTGAGACCATACAAATTCTACTCGACTTTTCCGGGCTTTTGATTGTGTAGATCATTCACTTTTATTCGCTTAAATGCAATACTTTGAACTACGGTCCCCTGGAGGGTCAGTCTTGAGGCCACTATTATTTTTACTGTCTATATATTTCATTTGAGTACCGCACCGCAGTTTTGCCAATCTCAGTCAAATGCTGACGATATATAGTGAGAGACATGATTCAAGGTTTAGCTGTGTGCTACTCTTTGCTCGCGATTCTGCAATGCACTTCCTGAAAAGATCCTTGCCTCTTGAGATAAATGGGGAACCCTGTCGTTTGCTATCAAGGCCAACAACTTAGTAGTAACGGTGAACGTATCATTAAGATTTAGTGAGCCCATTTCAAATGTAAGTAAAAGAACTTACCTTTTACTTAAGACTCTATATGCCAATAAGCATAAGCAACTTTAAAATAAGAAAAAAAACTCTGTGAGTCATATATTATGTCTGCATTGTCATATTGCCTCGTATTGTTTTACCCATGTTTTACACTCCTTGATCGTAACGCCTTTGTGTATGGCTTAAGGAAATATGACCACATGTCCCCTAAAATTAAATTGTTCCAGTGGTTGAGAATAAACACTTTATTTGAATACCTTTCCGCTGTGTTAATAAACAAGATCTTGAAGGCTTCTAGTCCTCCCTATTTAAAAGATAAGCTAGTTTTTCGCTGTGAACCCCAAAATGTAAATATTAGGGAGAATATGCTAACTGTGCCTCAACACAGATCTGCTCTTCAGGAGCAGGGGTTTACCTATAATGCGGCAACAACTTTTAATCAGCATAGACATTTCTTTGCCGTATCATAATTAAAATTGCTTCTAAAGAACATAAAGGGTGTGTTATTAGATAAATAAATTCCGGATTGCTGTTTTTCTTCTTTTAATTAATCACATAATTATTTCTATATTTACTTGCTTGTCTTATGTTTATATATTGATCAGCTAGACTTCGGCCTTTGAGATATTAGTATTGTATACTGTATATTATGTATATTATACATCTCAATTCTCAATAAAGGCAATTATTGTTATTATTATTTTTCGGAAATTCTGACCTATTTTTCAGATATTATGACTTAACCCAGAAATTTGAACTTATTCCTCGAAAACATGAAAAATTAAACTCATATTTTATTTTTGGTGGCCTTTCAATGCTTTCGTAGAAAAGCGTCCCTTATTTTTGGAAAAAAGTTTTTCGAATAAGTATTTTCTAACAAAATAAAGAATTCTTCTCCAGTGAAACTTAAAAACGTAAACGTAGGATATAATAAAATAAAACTAGTAAAACAAGGTGTTTTTTTTTCATATACTATATTTTACACTGGAAGTAATGCATATAATACGAAAGTGGAAAACGTGCAATGAATTTGAAAATCTTTCACGTAAAAATAAATAATAAAATAAAACGATTTCCTTAAATTTCGTTTTTTTCCTAAACTGATGTTCAGACACTGCTAGATATAAGAAGGCACAATTTTTCATTAATTTAACATTAATTTAACTAGTGCTTTTTTCAAAACCATCAATTAATTATTATTTCAACAATTGTCCATTTGATGACCATGAAAACACAAAACTAGTTTTGCTTTTTTTTTGCACAAGTTTGTGACATTTATTGATATTTATTTTAGCAATTCGAATTGTTGAAAACTTCGCCGTTTAATTTTATATCCCAGATTATCGGTCCGGTTTTCCGGAATTCCCATGTGTCGATGCATTTTACTCCCGTGCCCGAGTGATATTGCATTCCTGGGTATAAACAAATCCGTCGACCGCAGACCGGAATATTATTAATGTGATCGCGTCAGTTGCAATGGCACGGTGCATGTGACGACCGACGAGATACGTCGTGAGCTTCTATGTTCGGCCAAACAGTTGATTGGCGTGCTAGTTAATAACGAAAGGAAGCAATGTCTATGTACCTGCGATATTTTTGCCATTTAGGCAATTTTTCCGGGTGTCCTATTTGATCCGTTGCAGCAGGGAGAGTAAAATAAAGTCAAACAAAATAATTTTTGCAAATTCGGAAAGACAGTTTTAAAGTTTGGAAAATGAAGGCAGATCAATAAAAGCTGTCATAATAACAACAGATTTTATTGGCTTAACTAATTTTATCGTGGTCTTGTCTTAGCTTCCCATAATCTAATTAAATAGAAATTGTGACCCAAGGCTAAACGGATAAACGATAAACTTGTTTCGGTTTCGACATATAGCGTGTCAAAGTCAAAAGCATTTTGACTGACGGCAACAAAGAGCTTCTCTCGGTGCAATCACAAAAAAATCATTTGTTTCACTGTGGTTCCAGTGATGTCCTAATAAACAAATAAATTTCTTGAATTTTAATGGAAATTTAAACATTTTTCTTCCGAAACGAGATACAAAAAGAACTCAAGAGACAAAAAAAACGTGTTTCGAATTGTTTAATCCAAAAAAATTGTAAACATACAAAGGCGTCACTTAAATGTTCCGAATTCGGGGAAGGCTTTTAAAAACAATTATTAACAGAGAAAGCGAAACAAAGTTTTATTTAGACTAGCCGATACAGAGGCTGGGACAATTAAGAACGTTTTTACAATGCGACAATCGAATATATACGGCTTTTAATGCGATGTCAGCGAGGTGTTATCTTCTCTTAGCGTGGCGCTTCGTCTGCTGTTCGGAATTTATAACCTGTTTCAACATTTTTTTTATAAAAAAAACAATTATATTACCTACTAGGACGTCACTGGATCTAATCCAATGATTGCACTAAAGTAGCTCCTTCTGACCGTGAATAAACATATCAAGTTTTTTCAGCAACTTTTGTAAAGATTTTGAGACTAAGTCGATAAGATGCAAGCTAGAACGAATATTTGTAGGAAAAACGTCTTATTTTTACTAAAATATTCTATTCATTTAATTAATTTTGGTCAGTTTGGGTCACCCAGAGTTTGCAGAAAATATGTTTTATTTTGTAAAGGAAATCTCGGACAATATGTTTTTAATTTGTGTAAGTCTATACATACCACAAAGTTTTCATTATGTTTTGCTTAATATCTAGCTATATTATTTTAATAGAATATTATGCTATAAGGTTTTGTAAAGGATGCTATTTGGAAATTTTTAATTTTTTTTTTTTTTTGTAATTTAGCCTTTGAAAGATTTGGTAAAAACGACAACAGCAAGAAAAATTCCTACAATGTACACCAATAGAATTTCTTCAATTATTTCTTCTTCTTTAGAAGTTATTTTAAAAATATCTGATAACGCGCTGACGACACTTAAGTGGTTAAACGTGAACTAGCTAGACATTCATAGCATTCACGTAGTGTTAACCTGATAAGCATCAAGATGTGATTTTTTTAAGTATCTACCACCGCATTTATTATAGTCTACTAGTTTGAGAACGAGCTCAACTATGCAGTTGCAGAGTAAAAAAGTTGAGGACACTTAAAATTGAGGCTCATCGCTGTCCACTATATCTAACACTGATTCGGTAAAAACATAATGAAAAATTTAATCACTTCGGAGTTGCAGAAACAAATACTTAAATAAATTAACAATATAATGACGTGAAGCCACCAACAACAATTAATTTATTTAGCAAACAACGCTTTTTAAAAAAGCTGGAGGTTTATTGTTATATTGCAGGTCTCCAAGACGCCATATCAAAAAATATCCTGGTATCGGATCAGAACGCACTTTCCGCACGAGTGTTGGCTCTCAACGCCAGCACAGGAACATTAGTGAATTGTGCCTGGTGGCAAAGGCAAGGCATGGAAGTGGGAGGTCCCAAAAAAGTTGCGGAAACCATTATGGAAATCGGCCACAGACCAAGCGCTGAGTTCCCGTGGTGAGTCTGCTTTAGCAATTTGTTATATGACCATAAATAATAAAATTGCGTGGTATTAATCTGTAAGGTATGAAGATGCTGATTCGAGTCCGGGGCTGCGGTCTCCGAAATTCGTTGAAAGTCCACCGAACGTTTCATATAGGGGTTGGTGGACTTATCCGTATTATTCCTGCTCAGCACGTCGATGGTTGATGTCGTACAGTGTACCTATACCACCGCCTGGCAGAAGAGGGTGAGTTGCGTGTTATTATTTAAAAAAAATAGGCTTAGACTGTTTAAAATGTATATAGGTATATTTTATAATTAATTAACTACCAAATTCTTTAACCTTCCAACATACTGCACTTCGCTTTCTAAAACATCGCCGGGCTTCAAAAATGTGGGAGGTTTCTTGGTAGACCCTACACCGGCTGGGGTGCCCGTACAAATAATATCGCCAGGCAGGAGTGTCATGACCCTAAAATTGAAGTTATTTTAAAATTACCCACTTTGTTGTTTACAAAATTATTACCCGGACAAGTGCTCGACCAAATGATCAATTTTAAATATAAGATCGCTTGTGTTGCCATTCTGCATCAATTCTCCATTTACCCAGGTCTTTAAATTTAAGTTATGTGGATCGGGAATTTCATCTTTTGTCACAACATAGGGCCCGAGCGGACAGAAATGGTCCATGTTTTTGCATAGCAAAAATTGTCCTCCTAAAGTTCAGTCAACATCAGTTTTCTGCAAGGATCAAGTTCGAATAATACTCACCATTTCTCTGCATCCAATCTTTCGCGGTCAGGTCTTGAGTGGCGGTATATCCGAAAATGTATTCGAAAGCGTCCTCAGCTTTCACGTCTCTGGCTACTTTACCTATCACAGCTACCAACTCGACCTCCCAATCCACTGCCTGAAACGATAGCAATTTCAGTTCCATAGAACCTAAAATCGAATTTTTTATTTTCTTTTTTATTTTTATTTATTTTCGGTTTAATCAATTTATAAAACTTTTACATTCATCAAATACAAATAAAGAGAAACAGCTAGAATCAACCAAGAACAAAATATAACAATAACAATAAATAGTAGTAAGTAGTAAGTAGGTAGTAAGTAGTAATTGAACACATCACAAAGAAATGAGCTTTAGACAGTTGCACGCTTTCAGCATTCTAGTAAAGGGTTAATAAGCTCCATCATTTGGGCGATGATAAGGTATGCATGTCAGAATTGACAAACGTCAAAATTCAAAGCGCGGGAAATATACTCGAAAACATCCGATTCCTCCCAAACTCGTGCGGTAAAATCCCGGAAATATCCGAAGTGGCTCGGATTTGTGGGAAACGAAACTGACGTGGTAAAGTGACGCTTCCTGCACGCTAGATTCGTGCGTAATTAGGTATTTTACAGACAGGAGTAGAAAAAATAAATTACTCTGGAGCTTTCTGGTTTGAAGAATATCAATATTGAAGGCTTTAGTTATAATACTGTAGTTGATATCAATATGCGCCATTGAAGCCAAATACTTTCTGAACGGCTTCGATGTTATCTATTTGGCAGGCATAAAATGGAGATCATGCCACTATTTCAAGGAAATTAAAATGCATTTAGCATAGTAAGGTGTATGCCAAATTTCTATCAAGGGCACTAAAAATTATTGACTAATATAATATGTATACTTCTAATAGTAATAGTTTTTTGAGAACTATTGGGTTATGGTGATTAAAAGTGAAGAATCTTCTAGATTTTACGCCAGTTTTTTAGGACTCTTATTGTTCTTTTGGATAATAATGACAAAATCACATTTTGAACGATTATTTTGCTAAGCATCAGTACATGGGATGAACTAAACCATCTAATATACGCATGCCCTATCCATCCATCTTTGTGATCCAGCCAGCAAGATACTCAGATCGTAGTGAAAGCTTGGAGGATGTGTTAGTTCCATTTCTTCTCACCAAAAGGTAAAAAGCTGAAGAATTGTGTTGATGACAAACCTGTGTGGATTCGTGTTTTCCTCCAAATATCGCAATTCTCTGTAAAATTGATCGTCTCAAGTCTTCTGTACAAAGTTTTAGAGAATTTGCTTTTCTATAACACACCTTGGGGAAATTGGTCCTTAAGCTCAGTTTCAAAATTTTCTATGAATAAATTACCGCAATAATCGCTGTTCCCTTCAGTAGTTAATAAACTTTGCTGTTGTATTGAAAGTAATTTTGATCAATATGTAATTTAGTGAAAATGATATATGCCTCAATAATACATGGTTTGGTCCTCTAAAGTTTGTGATAAGATAAGTGATAATTAATCTTTGAAAACTCTAAAAACTTACCATTTTGCAATATTGGTGTAGAAATTGGAAAAAAAATCACTTTAGTGATCATTTTACACTAGTTTCAATGCAACTATTTCCTTTACCTGATTTTAAATTGAATCAGGCTTTTTTTTCTATCTTGTATTCAAAATTAAACTTTCAGTGTGACCTATAAAGTTTGATAAACCATTTCCTACAATAAGTTTGAAAAATCAGCGTAGGAATTTTCTATTTTACGTTGTCTGCCAAATAATACGTTATTAGAAGCGTTTAGGAGTATACTTATAATTAAACATCGTGATAAGACATGAACTCAGACAAAAGGCTTCAAATCCCCATTTGCAGGCAATTGCACCACATACTGTTCTGACAGATGACTAAAGAGTTTAGATAGTTTAGTTGTAATCATTTGTGCAGTTGTCAGCAATCCAATAAACCCCAACGAAGATAGAATAGAGCGTGTAGCTTGCGCAGGCTGTTAAAGGGATGACAATTAGGATTGAATTTCCAGACTCGCAAGTAAGAATAATTAAAAAATATAGTTATTTTAGATTGAAATGCCACTTTTCACTTCTGGTGAAATAAATACAAAAAATAATGGACCTAGAAACCACTAGAAGTGTAACAACCAATATTCTAGCAATGAAAGTCGAGCATAATTTTGACCTGGTTGCATATCTTTAAGAATATGTTACGCCTATAATAATATTATTCTGTTTTTTTTTTTACGGTTTTTACTTACTTTGCTGGATTTAGGGTGTCTTATTCGGTCATAAGGTCCGATGATCGTTGACGCAAATTTGCTAAAAACTATGGGCTCCTTTGGCGGAGCAAGATTATTTTGTTCACAAAAATCCCTATAGTTGAGGGCAACTCCCAATATTTTGTCAGGTTTTTTAATGGGCGGCAGTAGATGAACTTGAGACAGCGAGTAACTTAAATTTTCTGGACTAGAAGACATCCTAAAACGAGAGCCTTTGTTTTCTAATCTGGCGTATAATAATAGTTGAAAACATAAATTTTGTGCTGCGTCACTACCTAATAAGGCAATAAGGACCACATTACTGAACTGGGGACTGGCTAATAGCTTACTCGTTAAGCAGTTTCTCGGCGCTCTCGTGTTCATGCAAAAACTCGACCAAGTTATTCGGTACCCAATTAGCGTGGGAGTTGAGATCGATTACTTTATCGCCTTTCAAGACTCCCAGACGGATTTTGCCGGTGTTCATCATAAACTGCACCAGCTTCATTATTATGGAATTGCGGTAGAGTGCAAATTTACAATCTCACGAGGAACGTAGGATCTGAAACACGTCTTTATCTTAATTGTGCTGCGCAAATTGATAAAACCGATACGCAACGGGTTAAAAGATTTTTTTCTACATCTGGAAAATAGTACATTAAGCTGTGAAAGCATAAAATGTTTTAAACACCCATGCAACTGAAAACTAAATTACATTATGCTTATAAATAATGTAAATCTATAAAAATAATTATTTTTCTGCTTTTTGATTTTTTTATCGTTGAAAAGGTCAGTTTTGGTTAGTTTTGGTTTACCCGGTTTATCCTTCTTTGAACTAAGATAGTTGTGATTGACTAGTTTTGACAACCACGTGTTTGTGACATATCTGCATATGGTTGCACCAACGGGTGAGTTTGCACATTTCACTTATTGCATATTACTTGATTTTGTTTTATATATAACCAAACGAGGATTACTACAAATAAAATATATAAATATCGTTTTATAAATAAAGTATTTTTATATGCAAATTGTTATTTATATGTCATGGTAAGTATAGTTAAGCTTACCACTTACAAATTAAAAATATCTCTTTTTTAGTATTCTTTATAGATAATAGATAATTTATTTTTTTCCTTGATCAATATATAATTTCATTTTATTTGATAAGCCTATTTTCAGAACCGACTTTTTCTATTGTAAAATTTGCGTAACTTCAGGCAGACAGTTTAAATCAGATTCACTAAAAATAGTACAAACTGAAACTTTGGCAAACGATGTTATTAATACATCCTTTCCTTTTTGGCAATCCCTAGATCCAGCATTATATTTAAAAAGATGACCTATTGAAATAAAAAGTAAAGTGCAACTTATATTGTAGACCAAGGCAGTAAAGTCATATTAGTTCAAATTCGGAGAAAAATGTACGGACAAGCTGTGGCGAAGAGTGATTTACACATTGGGCCCACAACATGTACAGACACAGAATTTCCTAATATTTCAACAAAAAAAAGAACAAAACGTTATATGTTAATTGCAATTTAATTGTTCAATTTGAAAATTCACTAAAACGTAATTGCTTTGTCAAAAATTTCAGGTAGAATCTACACTTGCATTAAGAACTACTATAATGAAATCCTAAAAATAAATAATCTGCATAGCCATTTTTTAATGCTCTTTTAATGCCAACTTTATCGCGCCATCGAGAGAGGAAATTCAATATTCTCATAGTGTAGGAAGAAAAATTCAACTTTTGGAAGTTTACACTGATACGCGAACTCAGTTTTAGTTTTACAAAAGCTTTTTCGCTGCACAGAGTGGCTAATTGCGAAGTACAGGGATTAAGGCAAGCCCGACTGTTAATGGATACTTTTTTTAGACCTTCTAAAAGGGTGGCATTGGCAATCGATCGAAATTCAGTTTTGGCGTTCTGCAATTTTCATTCGTTTTGGCATTGGTGCAGTTTTTTTAGTTCACGGGTTTAGCCCAATTTTTGGAAAAAAACTCTCTCTTGGAAGACTATTTAGAGTGATTTAAACGGCAAACTGTACAGGCTGAACCTAGTGTCAATTGACCACTTCTTAATTGAGCGGTCAATTGACCACTTTTTAATTAACTAGTCAAAAACTGTTTTAAATAACATCTTGTAATTGTATAGCATTGTTTATCATTATTTAATAATAATATGTATTTTATAAGACATTATGCGTTTGTGATGTCCAATTTACCTTCAAGGAATATCCGAATACGATACTTAGCGATTCGGGGAATCTCAATAATAATACCATCCATTTGGTTCCCAGAACGACGCAACTGCGGTGCAAAGTCCAATATAAATAAAAATAATTCTCATGCTATTTTAAAAATTATTTCGATCAATTGACTGGTCTGTTGACACAAAAAAAATTGACCTGGCAATTCCAGAACCCTAGCTGAACCATTTTAGGTGGGATTTTGATAGTTTTGAATTTTTCTAGTGTACATATGTATATCGAAAAATGAGATCATCTTGATTCAACTCTCTTCCGAGCTACGGGGTAATTCTGAAAAATAAGCATTTTGAAAAAGTGTTGTTTTGGAATTTTTTCTGTTGCCGGTGATGCCTAATTTTAAAGTAAATTTTATAGAAAATAAAAATGAGTAAAATAAAATGGCATATCCCATAAGAAAAATAACTTTTATGACCCGCCATTGAACAGAATTTGGAAGTTTTAGAAACAAAAATGTTATAGGGACTTATTTAAAATGCAATGAGAATCACCACGTAGCTCGAAAACAAGTTGACTTATCAAGGTGATTTTTTTATATTTTTCTCTCAAAAATTAAACCCGGATCATTGAAATTAAGACTAACCGATTAGGCTAGCTGGTTCAACAAATGGTAGAAAGAACATGAAATATAACATCATTGGGAGAAATGCCGTATTCTTTTAAAGATTTTAACCAGCAACAAAAAAAAACTACATTAAAGAGAACTAACAAAACGCCACTAGTAGCACGCCATATCCCACTAACATCATTAAAGCAGCAATTCGCTTACCTTGACGCTAAAACAGAGGAATTGTTTGCAATAATCGCATTTATAAAACTTCACGACGAAAGCATAACGACATTACTTACCGCATTATTAAACAAATCTACGTATATCTATTTGTAAACATTTGGTGACCTCTAATGTGGGTCGAATAATTCCGATAAACGATTGAATATGCTTTTTTAATAGAATACCGCACACATTATATCCCCGGAGAATTCGCTATTGTTTTATATTCACATCATATCTTTATATTAATGAAAATAGTACGCGGGTGGTCCATTTGGTGCCAAACTATCAGCCTTAGAACTCCGGAATAATATTAAAAAAAAATCGGTATATTAACCGCATGATCTCACAGGTCAAATAACGTAACCGATTTTCAGACTACATCGCTAGCGGTCATATCTCGAAAGATATTTGCCGTACACATTTGGAAAAAAAATGTAGCACTGAGAAATCGCAGAAAATTAGTTTTGAGCTTCTGAGTCGGTCGCCATAGAATAGTTGCTATAGTCGTATGGAAAAATATATTTTTCTCGAAATATTTTCTGTATACGTAGGAAGGGGGACACTTTGTATTTATATTAATTACTTGGTTTAAGTGTTGATGGAATTTTGCAAACTCTGGAAAGGGAAGTTGACTGGGAACGTTCGCCATTTTCTTATTTTAGTGTGAGATATATTTATTTGATCAAATTGTCTATTACTTTTGCAACAAAAAATTAACACGTTCGCTGCCTATGATTATTGGAAGACAGACGAACTTTACAACTTGCGCTTTTATTCGCAATATGTGAGTAGAAACCCATTTCTACTCGTAATGCATTGCTTGCATTTTTAAAAAGACCCAATAAGAGGAGAACCTGAGTTCGGAGATCGATTGCATAAAATAAGATCCATTCAAGATAAATAGTAAAATGGATGAAATTTATTATCCCGGAAAAATCTGTCCCTTGATGGTTAATGCACGATTACTTTTTCGTATATACATTAATAATAAGAAGCATAAGTTTGGTGTAAAATTGTATATCCTTTGCGAACCCTCCGGTTTAGTTTTAAAAGGAAGAATTTACGAATGTTGTTTCAGCATTGATGCAAAAGTATTTAGGTATGGGACATAGTGTGCTTATGTCTCATGTTTTTACCTTGCCAAAGAGCTTCTCCTAGGAAACACCTTTGTCACTGGTACTCTAAGAAAAGACAGAAAAGAAAATCCAAAAGAAGTTGTGGAGGCAAAGTGCCAGAGGGGGAAGTGCTTACAAAATGCTCATAAAATATAATGATTGGAATGTGGAAAGATAAGAGAGAAGTTTTGTTTATTTCTACTGAGTTTGACGGTACTTTGGAACAACAAGAGAGTCGAAGAGCTGAAAGAAAAGACAAGCCAAAGGCGACAACCGAACATAATAAGAATATATCAGGAATAGATCGTCAAGACCAAATGCTTTCTTATTATTCCTCTGGAAAAAAAAACAACTCTAAGATGGTACAAGAAGCAGTTTTTGCACTTTTTGTCCATTGCAACATTAAATAATTTTCTATCATTTAATAAATATTCTTCCAAGGAAAAACTCGATTACTACAGTTTTCGGTATACTCTTATAAAAAACTGCTTTCTGAAGCAAACAAAATAAATAAATAAACAAGCCCAGCTCATAAAATATAACTACTGAACATCTTTCCTTGAAGATGATAAAGGAAAGCAAATAAGAAAAAGACGCAGAGTGTGCTTCAGCGAGAAACTCCGGAAAGACACCGCTGTCCTGTCCAGAAAAACCAGGACTTTCCATAGGAGAGTGCTTCAAAAAATTTCACTCATGCAAATAATCTTAGGAAACTTTTAACTTTTAAAATATTTTTAAGCCAGGTTTTATTTTTTTTTTAATTCTACCACTTTTTTACCTTTTATAATTATATGTATAAATTTTTATCGGCAGGGAACTTGTTAAATATGCACGGAATGGCAATATTTATTGTTTCGAATAAATTGCCACAATTTTGAAGCTGGAAATGCGTCATTTTTTAAAAATATTCTAACCTTTGGAGGTCTCAGAACTAGGACCCATGTCTCTGCAGGGGCGTAACTTCCTCAGGGTATGATATCGTTGCTGTTACTGAATCCTGGCTTCAACCAGATTTTCGGGACTCTGAATTCTTCCCTGATTCTTATCTGGTCTGCCACCGACAGAAGGCAAGACCTAAAGGACGGTATGTCATGCTCGGTGTTCGTAACAGTTTTGACTTCACACTTCTGAATACCTCCGGCATCAGCAACAATGCTCCAAGCTTAGACTTCTTAGGCTGTACGATCTCGTTAGATTACTTTGTATTTTATGTATTTATATACTTTACATTCCTCCCACTGCTGTCAACTTCGAAGTTGAGAACTTTTTTCAATCTTTGTCGTTGCTGGACTTGTTGTTTGGCGGATCTGTCTTGTTGTTGGGTGAATTCAATATTCCATCTTTCACTGTTTCAGCTGCTATTAATGCCAGACATAGATCCCTACTCGACCTCAGCGCCATATTGAATCTTAAACAGCATAACTCTGTAACTAACCTAAATTAGCGTTGCTTAGATCTCCTTTTTTCCAATTTAGATGTTGTGATAGTGAGGAACGGAATCCCACTTATCGACGAGGATTCCCACCATTCCTAGCTCCTCGAGCCGCTTTTCCACACGTTTCTAATTTTCCAATCAATAGGAACGACCAAACCGAATTTAACTTCAGGAAGGCCAGCTGTCCTCATATGTACAGGCTGATGCAGCATGCAGACTGAAATAGTATTGTACTGAAGTGGCTTTTACTTGATGAAAATCCATTTAAAATAGTTATATAAGGTAACACCATGCCTTTATCAAATGCTTATAAATTCACACTCGACGCCTAAATTATCTAATTCCCTATTTGTGTTTGGATATTTTAAATTAAAGTTAAAACCCTTTTCTAGTAGTTCAGTCTCACTCTCAGAAAATGTGGTCTCAGTTAAGTTAACGAATCTATTGTAAAACCTATGGTCAGAAAACTTTGAAATGGTGGTCTTGTTTTTAGAGATTTTTGTAGTAGAAATTAACCTATCTAACTTTGATTTTTGTCTAAGATATTTTTTGTGGATAATATTTACAATATCTAGTCGGACTCTATGGTCTAGAATGACAAACTCTATGGGATTAAGTCTATGAGACAATTCGGAATGTATTACCTTTACATAAATACTGTGTGTGTCCCTTTTCCTGTACTGATTTCCTCGTTCTTCTTTCAACCATTTCTTCTGACCTTGAAGTTAGGCTTTCTTTGCAGCGGGATTGTTGTTGTTGGTTTTCAGTTTCATGAACTTCGGGAAAACTCTGTTGTGCAAACACTTGTTAAAAAACCATATGTTTTGTGAATATAATCGGCAACGTAGTAACAGTTGCTGAAGTGGCTTTAAAGGCACGGTGTTGCCGAAACAGCTGTCATTTAAATGTATTTATGTGAAAATCTGAACAACGTTTGTTCTTATTTAACTATTTGAAATAGTATTATGGAATGCTCGGATGTCGACAGGGCTATAACACTTTTGAGAAGGAAAGGGCTTTCCACAATTTTAGGCAACACAAATCTTCTTAATATTGCGTATACTGATTTTGTTCGTGGTGCTGAGTTAAGTATACATGACAGGCAGAATCGCAAATCACAGCCACGATGGCCTATTCTAATCTGCCATGCCATAGGCCTAATATGGTTGTTGCAGCTTTTGCAAAATACTTTGGTAGCGTTTACACCATATCCTAGCCAGATCCATGTTCATCTTCAGCCGTGTCTTTGAATCCCTATCTAATCAATACACCTATGCTTACCATCTAGGATGTCTGATCAGCAAGCAAAGCACTGAAAAACAGAATTACCGCCGGTCCTACTGGCATACCAAGATTTCTCGTGAGAGACTGTTCCCACGCACTGTGTGCTCCTTTATGTCACTTTTTATATATTTCAAACGGATAATTATCCAGAACCTTGGATATTTGTCAACGTTTACCCTATTCTCACAAAAAGGTGATCCTTCTGTAGTTGAAAACTACCGACCTATTTCGCTTTTGTGCAATTGGTCTAAAATATTCGAGATTATATTAAATTAATTTATTTTTTGCAAATTAGAAAGAAACCATCTACGAGACAACATGATTTTTATGCGAAAAGATCATGTATCACCAACTTATGCTCCCTGTCTTCGTATGTCTGACTCCCGAACAAGCAAATTGACGTTATATACACTGATATATCCGGACCGATAAGTCTTATCCTTTTCTTTCCTTCTAAGATTTTAAGATTAGTTTTCACGTACCCTGGTATATGTATTGGAAAATTTATATTTAATTTTATTTAATAATTTCCTGTATTGGGTCGTATTACCTGTTGGAAATAAACTGCTATTATTATTACTACAAAGGACTTTAAATATTTCGCTTTCATTCAGTGGGTATTTTTCCTGCATTAAAACTAAGTGGGAAAAGCCATATACTTTCCTATAACTAAACATCACTTGAAATTGCGACAGTGTAGTAGTGTAATTATTCAAATAAAATTTTGCCTTAATTTCGAATGAATTCATTGCTTCACGCCGGGTTCCATTCCAAAACCAAAATTTTATTTTGAACTATATAATATCAAGGATATCAAAAAAGGACATGTTTTATATTGAAATGATTCTTAACTTAGTAAATAAATGTCGCCATATTTAAGCCTTGAACATCATGTTTTTTATCAGAATAGGGAACCTATGATATATGTGTCTAATCTGAAATTTATAAAAAATCTTCATCTTCATGCAAAAGGAGTTAATTCAAAGGAGATCAAATAAATCGTTCATAAAATTAGGCCAGACAACATAAACAAAAGCTTAAGGCAGGTAAAATTTAAAACTACGCCTCCCTAAATTATATTTGCGATAAAATCCGTTAACGCGAAAAAAATATTTATTTTCGTTTATTCCACAAACTGGACAGCATAAAATCAATATGTCAAAACAAAATTTCAAATTAAAAGCAACATCCACGAAGTTGACGTTGTGGATCCCGGTTAAACAGAGTTTTGAAA